ACAATTGCTTGTAAGCAAGTGGGCCACCCCCTGCTGACAGGCTCAAGGAGTTTTGACAAATATCCAACAAATATCCTCTTTTTGGTCCCTGCCCAGTCGTGAGTCAGAACTCCATGGGCAGTGTGGTTACTTACATCCATGAATAACTGGAAGGGCCTTTTTACATCGGGGAGACTCAGCACCAGAGCTGCCATGAGGGTTTCTTTTAGCTCCTTGAAGCTTTCCTCATCTCAGTTGGTCCATTTGAACCTGTCTGTGGTAAGCTTTTCGTAAAGAAATCTTACCTTTTCACTGTAACCTTCAATCCATTGCCTGCAATAGCCCAAAAGTCACAGTAGTTGTCTGACCTCTCTCTTTGTCTGTGGGGGAGGTGATGTGATTATTCCAGCCACCCAGTCCAAATCCAATTTCATCTTGGCTTTTGTCAGCCAATGCCCTAGGTATTTCACCTCAGGTTCTGTGAACTACAATTTGGACTTTGAAACCTTCAAACCCCTTTTCCCCAGGAAGTTTAACAGAGCTATAGTTTCTGCCCTGACGTCCTCTTCCTTAGGGCCTGCTACCAACAAGTCATCTACATACTGCAGTAATTTGGACCCAGGAGCTGGCACAAACTCACTATAATTTCTCAAGGCCTTGGCCAAAAAGATTTGGTGAATCCACAAACCCTTGAGGCAGGGAGGTCCATCTTAATTGTTGTTTTCTTTGTGTCTCTAGGTCCTCCCATTGGAAGGCAAAGTAGTCCTGACTTTCCTCATCTAGAGGACAAGTCCAAAAGGCATCCTTTAGGTCTATTACACTGTACCAAGTGTCTTCTGGAGATATGTTATTCAATAAAGTATAAGGATTAGAGACTGTAGGAAACAAGGTTTTAGTTCACTGATTTACAGCCCTTAGGTGCTGTACCAGTCGGTAACTGTCATCAGGTTTTTGTACTGCCAATATAGGTGTGTTATGTCTGGACATGCAGGGTAATAGCGTACCCTTCTTTAGTAAATCCTCAATTATTGGTTTCAACCCCTTTCTCCCCTCTAAAGGGATGGGGTATTGTTTGACCCTTATGGGATCTTCCCGTCTCTCAATGTTTATATGTATTGGTTCCATGTCCAATCTCCTGGCCTCCGCCAGAGTGTGCCAGACCCTGGGATCAATCCTTTCCTTGTCCCCAGTGGTTAATTTATACAGACTTACCATAAACTGCAAATCTCTTGCAATTAGATTTATTCCTAGTACCACCATCAAATCCCTCCCCAATAAGTTATAGACTGCTTCCTCTACCAAAAAATGTTTCCGAAACAAATTTTATTATCAGATTCAATTTCCACATCCTTTAGAATGGGAACTTGGAAGGGTTCCCCCTTTGCCCCAGTCACCGCCATTGAATCCTTACTCTTCAAACACCCAGGAGGCAGCTGCTAAACTGTAGTCCTCTCTGCTCCTGAATCAACCAAGAAAACCAATTCCTGTTTTTGGGGTCCAACTTTTAATTTTACCAAGGGCTATCCAGATGTTCTGGACCCCCAACTGTAGAGCCCCTAACACCTATACTCCTCTTGAAAGATCATTTCATCTTTCATGCTCTTTTTACAGTCCCTCTTGAAGTGCCCTTTTTGTTTGCAGTAAAAACACTCAGGGGCACTTACCTGTTTATCTTTCTTCTGTGAAGGTCCCGGCTTTCCCTGGGGCTTTCAAGCTTGTGTTGGTTTCCCTGTCTTTCGAGCTTGTTCCTGTTTGTGGGCTTCCCTAACTGCTGCCACCAACACCCTGGCCTGGGTCTTTTGTTACTCCTCATCCCTCCTCATGTACATTTTTTGTGCCTCCGTTAACAACTCCTCTGAACTTTTCTCTTGCTGGTTTTCTATCTTTCTCAGTTTCTTTCAAATGTCTTCCCATGATTTTGCCACAAACTGTGTTTTTAACAGAATTTCCCCCACAGGAGAGTCAGGGTCTGTTTCGGAGTACATTTGGAGGCTTTTCTTGAGTCTTTCCAACCATTCAGTGGGGATCTCATCCCTCCCTTGGCATTCCCCTAATGCTTTACTAATATTTTGTCCCTTTGGTACCGCCCCCCCAATACGCTGTATTACCATGTTCCTTAATATGATCATCTTAGCTCGGTTCACTTCCGCTTGGGCATTCCACGAGGGCCTTTGTTCGGGCCACTTCTCCACCCCGCTCCCTCCCTGGGGGTTTCTGAAGTCCCAATCCTTTATGGCAGCCTGCCTTATCATATCCTTCTCCTCCGCATTAAACAAGGATCTTAATATAGTCATGATAGCATCATACGAATAAATGCTGCTACCCAAAAATTGGTCCAATCTTTCTGCCACCCCTAAATGATCATCCATTAACTTCCCCATCTCCTTCTTGAAAGCTCTTACATCCCCCGTGTTGATAGGAACGTTTACGATTCCGATGACCCCGAGGGTGTCGGGACTTCCCTTAAGGGGTACAGATTGGGTCTGTCCCTTTCATCCTCACTATCCTCCGTGTTTTCCCTCCTTGTTTTATGCCAGGTTCTACTGGAGGGAGGAGATGTATTGCCCCCAGTGTGGAGCGTGTGGTTGTGAGTGTCCATGTGCTTTGTGAAGGGAAAGGAATTGAGAGGGTCCCAGTGTGTCCGGCATCGCCACAGCTGATGGATGTGTGTTAAGTGGTGGTGCAGCCAGAGCTGGGGGAGCCTTTGGTGCAACTGCAGGGGCAGTTGTGTTTGGGGAGGGGGAATCTGGTAAGGGGGAAGCAAATTTTCCAGGAGTTCCCAGGTTTTACTCAGACTTACCTTTCTGCCAGAAGTTTTAACTGGGAACAGCTGCGCTCTAGCATATTCCCATAACTTGGCGTAGTCCAATTCCTCATTATCCAGCCCACCTTCCTCATATAAATGGTTCGAGAATGCCTAGCAAAGCTTAGTCTCAAAAGTACCAAACGTAGGCCAGTGCTGGTATTTTCCGATTTCCATGTTTCCCCATACATCTACACAATAATATATCATTTTCTCCTTGGACTTTCCCCACCTTGCAGAGCAATCTTCCCAGTGTTCTAACATCCACCCCAAGGGGCTTTACCTCAGAATCCTGGGCAACCCACCCCTCCCCCCTTTCTCTGGTTTTACAATTTTCCCGTGGGTTTTCTCCTGAATTTTACTTTTCTTCTGTCCCGTGTTTTAAGTTTCTCTTACCGTGTCTCTGTGTCAATTTCCATGATCCATCCAAAAAGCCAGTCAGTCAATTGCCAAGTGTAAATTGGTCTGTATCCTGACTGCGTCTTACCAACCTACTAATCACACAGTGAAACAGTCTGTGGATTTTATGGCTGGAAGAAATGATCTCTCCTGCCTTTTCCTGGACCTCCTGAGCTCTGGATCGGAGGGGTTTACCAGTTTCCCGAGCCTACGAGAATGTGCCTTCCCTTCCCAATCCTCCCGTGATTGAATCCCTGGAACTCCCCGAGTTACACGTTGTGTGTGTGTGTTGTGGGTGAACCCAACATCATTCGCTTCCCCCGCGACCGACCACTTCCCTCATGGCATAATGGAACTGCGATCTTAGGGCTCGCTCTCGCCTCATGACAGGGTCACATCTCACACACACACATTCAATCACACCCACTCAACCACGTGATACTTATGGCTCCTTTTCCCGCGTGGATTCTTTGTGCATGTAGTTTTTATGAGTGAAAAAGATGCTGCTGCAGCATCAGAGATTCTGACTCCAAGTATTTGAGAGCTCAGGGCCCATTTATATCCCTTCCTTTTTGTGGCTTTTTTGGCTATTGTTTTGGAATCTGATTGGTTCCATGGAGTTCCCCAGTCCCATCTGGCTGCTGAAATCAGTGGGGCACCGCCCAGATTGAGGGCAGGGAACCCCCTGGATGCCTCTAATCAGATCACATTGGGGTCACCAAGATTGTTATAGATAAAAATTGATCCAGCCAAATTAAAAATGAAAAATAAAATATTTATTATAGCAATCAAATTCTCTCTGAGCCAGCCACAAGAAAAACGACAGTACTGAGCCCGGGATCAGCGCTAGGTGCGTCAAAGAGCAGATAGTTTCAGCAGAGATTCCCCCTATGCCCACACACCACCCTCTTGGTACAAGCAGTTTTTATAGGAAATATTCTACCCTAGGCTGGGATTTTGGCAATCCGTCTTTTCTTCCCATTCAAAGTCCCACATATTCATAAAGTCTCTTTTCTCTGTGTTGGGGTGGAACATTTCAGTGTCAGGTGGGGATGAATTTTCTTGATGGAGTTATGGGAACACGGCATTCAGATGTATCAGCTGGGAGGATTTCAGGCTCCCAATCTAGAGTCGTTGCCAGGATGATGAATGCCTTGGCATTCCTGTAGCAGCTTGAGAAATGGCCCATCTCCGGGTGAGCCACATGTATTAGTTTGCAAATGAGGTTTTGTCAGAGACTGATTTTTCTAATATGTGGGGTGTTATAAATTTGCGCCACAACGGAACATAATCCAATTAAGAATTTTATTAATTTACAACAAGTAGGATATGAACAAAGGTAACAGCGCTGGGAAGCAAACCCAAAAACTTCCAAAAATCCGAAGCTTTGGCTGCTCCACCGATTTCACTCCAACTGTCTCCTTTTATTCCTATTTCTTCTTTTGTCTCCCTGGAATTTGCAAGTCAATTCCTGCCGTTATCTTGTGTTTGTTTAAGCAGTCCCCTAGTGTGAATGGTTGTTGTGGTCTTTATCTTCAGTCTCCGGTTGAAGTGCTTGTTATCTTATCTAGTATCAGCTGTGTCCGTTTGGTGTTTGCATACCTCCGTGGTCTAACTTTATCTCAATAGACAATACCTCAGTCTGTATTTTTTTCTCACAGTTGTCTAACTTTTACATATATCTTAATAAACAATATCCCACTCTGTAGTTTCTCACAATTGTCTAACCTTTACATATATCTTAATAAACACTATCCCAATCTGTAGTTTCTCACAATTGTCTAACCTTTACATATATCTTAATAAACACTATCCCAATCTGTAGTTTCTCACAATTGTCTAACCTTTACGTATATCTTAATAAACAATATCTCAATCTGTAGTTTCTCACATGGGGGCAACAGTATCAAATATTACACATATCATATTATACTGGCACAAATTACATTCAGTACACATAACAGGATGAATATTGTGTGTATGTTAAGCGAAGCTTTATTGATGTATAGTTATGTTATTGTGGTTTGTTGTTTAGGTGTCCTCTGTTCTCCCCATAGTCCTCTTTCCTCCCCCTCTGTATTGTTTTCACCAGACAGCCTGGGTTGTTGGGGACCTGTGGAGGGAAGGTGTGTACATGGGCCCCTTGCATGGGGCAGCTGAGAATGGGAAAAGCTTGTTGCTGGGGGAATGCAGCATTAGAACACCTGACCACTAATCAAGTAGCAAGAAAGTAGTTTCCACCAATGTAGGACGAAGAAAAGCTAACTGACAGACCTTGAGAGGGGCCAGGGTTGCCTGATGCAACCCCCAGGGGCATAAAAGGCAGAGCAGCCATTTTGTAAAGGAGCACATGGGGGCTGGTCATGCGCTCCCACTGTGCTGTTATTTTTCCTTATTCAGTCTTTTGTTGTATTTTGTCAAGATCTGATAAATCTTTGAAATTTTACAGTGGGAGGTCGTTTCTCATACCTCTGCAATTAGAGAGTGTTAGAAGCAGGAGTAGCAGGAATATGATTTGTGTAAATTCTTCTTCAGTTTGTTTTTTTGCTTAGGAAACCATTCCGAAGGAGACATTTTCTACCCAGTGTGTAATATGTTTAATATGTTTGCTGGTACTCTGAGATTTGCCTAACATAAGCATGTAGTGCTTGCCTGAGGTTTTTATACTTCTTTTTACAGGTATCAAGGATGCTACATACAAAAGAGAGTGATTGATGGATGTTTCTAATCAGCTGAAGTAAAGGTCAAAATACACAATAAAATGTTACTCTTCTAGAAGAAACAAGAAGCCAAAGACATGGCAAAAAATTTATTATGTAATTTTGTCTTTAAACACCTTTATTCAAAGAGTAAGTTATGTTCCCTGTAGCACAAAAATGCTGCCTATTATGCAATTTCAAACAATGAGGGATAAAAATGCTGGCATATGCAGTGTACTCAGTTGTAAGATTGTGCTCCTAAATTTCATGCATCATTAGTATTAATAATTATTAATTTTCAGGCATTGAAAATTATTAAGATTAAAATATTAAAATTAATGCTAACTAATAGTTATACTTAAATGTTAATTATTAATATTAAAAATATTACTTTTCAGGCACTGAAAAGCCTGGTTTTGACATCACACCATTTACTTGGGGATGGAAGAGGAAGAATCTAAAATCCTCTGTGCTGGAACAGTCTGAATCTGCCATATTGAAAGGAGAAAACATGTATGGTAAGAGTTTATTTATTTAAAATCACAGACGTGGTGGCGCTGCAATGGAATACAAAAGGGATCTAAGTATAGAGTTCAGACTGAAATTTCCCCAGTAGTGTTTAGCAGCATTCAGACCTGAAGTTATTTTAGGTATAATCCTGTGGTCTGTTACTTCTTGTGTGCATAGTGAAGTACAAGCATTTCAGATCTGCACTGTAGATGTCAGATTTAAGAGGAATTCTGTATGCATCAGGGTAGGCTGGATACACCCTGTTCTTCCTGAATTAAATGACTTTCCACATTGTCTGTGGTGAAATCAGATTTATGCTTCTCACTTCCAAAAACACATAATGAAACTCCAAGTATTAGCTTATGAGGTTTGAAAAGATAATTTAGATTTCTTTCTAAGAATTAGGTTACTAAGAGAACTAAATCAGAAAAAAAAAAAAAGTCTACTGTGTAATTGCAGCTGTAATATGTACTAGTATATATACTATATAATTAGTATATATACTATATACTAATACATCTATCAGGATTTTGTGGTTGAATGACAAGTCTGCTTAAAAGCAGCAGCAACTACATTATCTTCACATCATTCATACACTATAAATAAGAGCAGAATAATAAGACAATCTTCATCTCTAATTCCTGTGACAGTGAGGGACTGACTTCCTTAACAGATTTGTGAGACTGTGTAATAATTAGAAAGTGAGCTGTTCCCCTAGTAGTGTTTTCTCAGCACTGAGTTCCTGGGCTTGAACTCCATTAATAATCCATGCGGCTTTCATTGCATTTACACCTGTCTTTTCCTCTAATATTACAATTCCATTGGTGAATACACTATCATACCCTGCACTTTTCAAAACTGTATATGCTGTATCTGCTGAACAGCACATTTCAAATACTGATGTCAAATACAGTTTGTCCTTTATCTTGTTTATATTCTTGCTGCTAAAACCAGCACCTTGTTTTAGCAGGGAAGAGTGCTTGTAGCTTGATGAGTGTCTTCAGATTTGAATACCTGTGGGAAAACCTGTGCTAAACAAAACATAAAACTGGAGTTTAGGATTAACTGTAAAATCAAATAAAACACCCAGACTCAGTAAGCAGCAGACATGAGAAGAATATGGTGAGGAATTCAGCTCAGGGGTATTCACTGATCATATCTCTCTGGAAAACAAGAGAACAAGGGCTACAGAAAACTTTTGGCTGGTATGTGTTTTTAGAACTCTCTTAGGGGTTTATCATTAGCCAAGAACAAGTGATGTGTTTCACCAATTCAAAATAAATCAGTGCTATGAATGAAAAGGGACTTTTGTGACAGAGCAGGGCATCAAATTTTGGAGATGTCTTCTTTCTCTGTGTACATGCTTGGTTTGAAGGTGACTCCTCTGTTGTCTCCACCTCCCTTTTTGCACGTAAAATAAAACAAATTTATTAAATAAGTGTAATGCCAATGAAGGAAAAGCGTGATTAGTTACTTAAAGTTGTCCATTATGCATGTATGAGATTATTTTTCTCTGTACTAATGCAAATGTCACATAGCTTATTGTTTCAAATATTTCAGGAGAACACATTTTGTATGCAAGGTCAATGCTGAATACAAAGGGAATCAGGCTGTAGGAAAATTTGTAATCTTAGATTTTTTTTATCCAGGATTTGGCTTTGTTGGCAAACAGTATCTTGATGATCTTTTGGCAGTACATATTTCTTCCTCTAAAATGTTGTGACCTTTGGGAGAGGTTTTCCTAAAATTCCATTCTCCTTGTTTCATGTACTGTTCCAGGAAAAAATTGAAGGATACAAAAAGCAACTAGGAGCAGCAGTGCTAGCAAAAAGAACAAGAAAAGAACAAATGGCATTTGAGAAATAGAAAAACTGGGCAAGTCAGTTATTGATCCAGCCTCATATCACACAGGGAAATAACATCTACACTAATAAAAACAAATCATAGTTTGTAGGAAGAGATCATGTCTTCTGAAAGATCAAACTTTATCACTATAAAAAAGATGCAAAGTTTTGGACACACAAGCACTTCTCTGTGTCAGAGGAAAAATATGGCTTGAAATTTTTTTCTGATATGATAGCCAGATATCTTACCTTTTCTTCTTCAGTAGCCAGAATGCTATTGCAAGAATGATAGGAACTCCCAGAATGCAGGCTATCACAACAGATACCGCAAAACCTAGGAAAAGAAGGAAAACATGCACAACTGTTAATACCATTACCTTGAGTGTTGAAGGTAAATCTCTGGTCTGTCATAATGTTTGCATTCTGCATCTGCAACCTTTCTACAGCCTGGTCACACCACTTTGTGACTACGAATGGGTAATTTTGCACAGATGTTCTCTGGAATGTCCCAATTCCACAGCTGGCTCCACAGTTTACAGTGCTGTGACATGAGACACATGCTGAAGTCATAATGCCAATGTGGAAGCACTGGTTCAGCAGGTCATAGCAGGTATATGATTTTTATGCTGTAATAGAGATCATAAGATAACCCAAAGAAGTAAACCCAGGCAATCAAGGATGTTAAATTCAATGCCTTTTGTTTTCTCACAGAGAACACCACTGACTATGGACAGCTGAAGAACGATATTCTTTGCTGTTGAGAACATAGCTTAAAGGCATCAAAGAAGGTAAAAATTAATTCAGGATATTGGTATGAAAAATGGAGTGATCTCTTGCTTGCATAAAGACTTAAGGATTATCATAATGCTATATTTCTTAGTGATCTTCATGTACATTTTTGGCAATGAGGCATTTTTTATTTCTTCTGGCTTCCACAAAGATCCTGGAAGTGAGCTCCCTTTTCTTAACTGCATTTTCTTAATTTAGTTATGCATTTTTAAAATAGTTTTTCAAATTATTTTTTCTCACTAAGCAATATCAGAGCACTTATAGAGTCAAACTGACAGGTTTCATGTATTCCATCTGAATATTTTCTCCTATTAAATCAGCTGTTGGTGAAACACAAATGTAAAATGTGGAGTTTAACTGCATTTGACCCATTAATTTGAAGTCCAGCTGAATGGAAGAAGCTCACAATCCATGGAATTGAAGAAGAGCTGTTTTACAAAAGGTGAGTTTTGTCATAGTAAAGGTGTCAAATGGACACAAATCTATAACACCAAAGAGATAACTGTAGAAAAAGAGCTTGTAGTTTGAAGAGGAAGGGCAGGGAGTATGTCTTGTGATAAGAGGATCTTCCTAGAAAATTTAGTTAGATAATATTTCAGCCTGATACCCTAATCAAAACTAGACATGAGTTCCTGTTTAACTGAGGAGGTTTGAACATCGTAGCAAATTCCAGCTGCATTTATACGAAGGGGATTTTATTGGAATAAATTGCTGATAGGCAAAATATATTTCAAACACACGTGAGTTTTGCTGTATAATCCTTAAAGATTAGAGGGTTTTTGAAACTTGGTTCTTTTAAATAATGAGCATGAATTTAGATGGTCATTACTGGCATCAAAAATGTGGATGACTGAACACCTCAGTCATTTTTAAATTTTGCAACAAAACACAGGTCAGTGGCCCCATCTTGTGGTGCCTGTGCTCAGGGGAAGGTGGCAGCTCAGGCTTGTCAGTGAAAAGGAAAAAAAGTTGCTCTGAAAACCTACTTGGTAGCGGCCTAAATGTGCACAACAGGATTTCTTTTACAAATTTCTGTGGTTGCATGGCTCAATCCTTGACTCTCTGCATGGCCTCTTCCTTCCTTCTTAATAGGTGTGCTCTGTTCCTATTTGAGGTGCAGCTGACTTCATCAGGCTGGACACTTGCAGCAGCCAGGTTTAATTCATTGAGCTTTGACAGGAACAATTTTTTCTTAATTTTCTTTTTTTCCCCTTTAGGTGAGGGGCTGCACCTGCGAGAAAGTTTTTGTGACTGCAGTAATTGGAATGTGAGATTACAGAGGCAATGAATACCCTTTTTGAAATGGGTTGAACATTTTTTTCTATGGTTCACTGATAGAGTCAATAAGCTTTTGTAATTTAATGTACTTAGACTGAATGGGGTTTCTATTAAAGTAGCACTGAGCAATGTCTTTCATAGCCATAGAGACTGATTCTGGGGTGTGAACAGCCCCACAGTCTAACTCTGCTAAGTCATGCCAGCTTTAAAGATACATTGAAAATGCTTTTATGGCTAGTGTCATCTCTGTGTGGGAGCCAATATTGTGGCTTAGCAGATGGAGAACTAAATGTTATTATTTGGTTTGACTCTGGTTCACAGCAAAAATTTTGAGAGTCACATCTAGGTCAAATTTTCCCCCATAAATGGAAATTATAATGCTTACACTATTTCTGTGAAATGTTTGGAGAGTCTTAGATGAAAAGCATAGTGTCAGATTTTCAGTTACTGGCTTTGTGGGTTGTAACTCTCTCCCTTCTACTATTAAGTACTGAGTGTGACTTATAGAAATAATATGGTCAGGTGCGGTCAGCTTAAGAAACAGATGGAAAGCTGTATTTCTCATTTCTGACTAACCATTCAGACTCAGCTGATCAATGGCTCATAGGTGTTGTTAGGAATTGACAACATACCCTTGTCAAGCCCACCAGATAGTGAATTTTGATAAACAGAGGATGAAGGTAGAAAAAGTAAAAGTTAGATCACTACAGAGGATTTCATGGTGAACCTGTTGTAATCACAAGGGAGGTGCTCACTCTGGAAGTTCTGGTACTTCAGGAAGCGTTTCTGCAGTGGCATTGCCATAGCAGATTCATTGTCCAGGGATTTAAGACCTGCAGGGGAAGCCTTAGTCTCAGAGACATGGAAGCTGTATTGCAAATTCCGCTGTTTGAAATCATTGCACATAATGTGGCTTGAGCAGAGATTTGAAAAAGATTATTAAATTAGCCATTCTGGACCCAACTAGCTCTCTAGTCAGCAGCCAGTGTTTGAGACTGGAGGTTGGAGAAGAAAGTTTTAATCTCTTTGTGGTCATTTAAGAATGCCATGGGGAACATTTTTCTGGTTGTCCAATCCATAAAAGCAGAAAAAAGTTTGACATAATCTTGTTTTTTCCCCACTTTCACTATTCACTATCTTTTCATTTACTCAAAACATTATTTGTGCAACTAGTATCACTTTGTATATTAATTACGGATATGTTAAGAACTATTGATAATTTGGTAAATTTGTAATCTTCTTAGGTATTCTGTTTAGAATCTAACAACGAGAACTTCTAGTGTAATTCTCATTTTAAGAGATTAGCCAATTTTTGGTGACAAATCTAAATCATCTCTGATTTCAGAGAAATATTTTGCCCAGGATTTGTTTTGGCTGATCTCTAATCTTCACTTTTCTTTTTTATAGCTTTCTATTAGAAGAGATACTTTATGAAAAGGTCTGTCTGTAGTGGGGAATGGCAAGAACAGCTACTGCAGTGTGCCTGCAAGGAACTGTTTCTGTTGTGTCCAAAACATACAACTCCTGTGTTTTCTGTTTTTTCATCAAAACACTGAAGAAAATGGGAGGCAAAGTTAAAATGATGTGCTAACACATCACTTTTATTAATATGAAAGTTTACTGCTTGGCTAATCTTTTTGGTGAAGTCTGCTTTTTCTTTTAGAAATCTTTTTTAATTTCAAATAGTACAGTGGCTTGCCTAGAATCATCTGTCTTGAGTGTACATGCCAGCTTCACAGATCCTTAAGAGTATTTATTTGCAAGACAACAAAGAATTTGGAAGAATACATTTTGCACAATGTATTCAAAGGCCTTTCTGTGAGGTACAGCTCAGCTTCTCACCACAGATGCAGACTTTTGTGCAAAGCCACCCACCAAACTTACATGTTGTCATTGTGTAACACTGCAGAGTTAAGCTTTTGAATCAGTTCTTCCTCATAAAATGGTGTTTTGGCTTTTTTTAGTTTGTAACACTGAATCATGCAATCCAGTGTTATGAATTATATTTATTTCCCAAGTTTGAATTCCTCAAGGACCTCTTCTGATTCTGTGTAGATTCCCCAAAACAGTATCCCTGAAAGGTGAAGTTGGGACTCCCTTTAAATGTGTGGTCTGCATAAGACCAAGCCTGACCTTGCTGAGAGCCAGCTGAGACAAGGCCATCTTAAGCACTTACACTGTCTGAAACAGCTCAGCTGTGAAGCTGTTTAGTATTTGGAGTGACAGCAAATACTTCTAATAAGAATGACAAGGCCAATCATGTCTTCCTTTTTTATCCCCTTCCTTTGGTTGTAGGGCTTCCCTGATACCCACTGTGGAAAAAAAAACTCTTACCTACCCTACCTACCCTTATATTTGTACAGTTGCCCATGCACCAATGCAATATGAGAAGAAAAGGCAACAAAGTGAACTGAAGGGAGATAGCTGTTTTTGTAGCAGTACAGTAGAGCAGGACTGCCATTCCAGTACTTCACGTTTACACAGATCACTGTGCCCTGTTTCTTTGCACAAAAGCATTTGTACAACTCACCTTCATGGAAGGAGATAAAAAACAATCTTTCATGGAATTCCTGAACATTTCTGAAGTTATCAACCATTTCCAGGGGTTCTGGGTCATCACTCTCTGTGCAGTACATGGCTGTTTCCAGTGCCAGTAACTATAAAGGGAAGTGCCTGTTCAGCTTGCAGAATACAGAGAAAACAGTTGCCAGTGTGTGATCGCTGGGAGTGTTTGGAAAAAAGAAAAAGGTGTAGTCAAAGGGAAGGAGATACATTAATAATTAAGTTTCATGTGGCCTAAATGTGAACCTAAATACAGAATAATGCTTTCAACAATGTGATATCTCCAAGTCCATACCTGTATTTTTTTTACATCCTGGTGAAACTACTGCTTACTATCAGATTGTCTGCCAGGAAAAGTCAATGGGAGGAAACATGGTAGACTTTTCCAGCATGCTCTCCCTGGCACAGTCTAACTCCTAAGTAGTATTACAGGCTACTTTTTGAAAGAGCTCTTTATTTTTGTAGAGATGTGGTCTGACAGAAGCTGAGAATGTATTTTCAAAACAAGGAGCTTGCAGTAATTCGATCTGAGATTTTGTTAATAATGTTTTCCCCTGTGTCTATAACTAAGTGAATCAGAAGATAGTGATTGTGAGTTTATAGTCTAGGTAAGTGGCACCTAAGAGCAAAAGAAGTTAATTAGATAAGCACAAAAAATGTAAGTTGGTAGAAAAGTTATGGAATTAAAGATGAATAAATAACACAACACAAGCTTTTTAGAAACTTCCCAACCCACCCAAGTCCATAAGGATCAAAACAGCACTAAAATACTTGGTGAATAATGTTCAGACATGGAGCCCAAACAATAATCTGCAGGTAACCAGTGGAAAGACTTAGAGCAGGGAGTAAGTACATAATGAAAATTAAAATTCATCTCACTTGACTGGGATTTTTTCAAGCTGATACTGTACCAATTGCTGTGCAGCTGTCTGTCCTTTGTTCTGGCCAACTGAGAATGTGCTAACAACAAACAGAATGGGATATTAATCTATGTCAGTTCTGTGCTGTTCTTCCCACTTAAAGGATTTTAGCAGTTTTACAGGAACATAAGAAAAATCCAGGAAATGAGAATATGCATTTGCTATGTAAATAATGTATAATATGTATTAATATGTATTTAATATGTTCTTTAGCAGACACCAGTCAGGGAAATGTATCCTGTTGGAACTTGGCTGCTCTTGAGAAATTTTAACGGGGTGTCAGAAAACTGTCCAGAGAACGCTCGGGTAACATGGAGAAGTTGTCAGGGATCCTTTGTAGCGATAATACTCATCCAGTCTGTCAGGAAGTAGTTCTTGAATATTGAAACCAGGGACCAAGACCTTCTGATCTAAAAAAGGGGGTTTGTGTTAAATATTGCATCATGACTACACAGGTGAAGTGAATTTGCTTTTTGGTAAGCAGGATATTTTCAGTGTCATATCACTAGGAAAAGAAAAATACCTCTTAGCAGAGGTGATCCTAGTTTAATAAGGACTACAGGTTTTTAAGTTTCTTATGTACAAATCTTGTCTGAGACACCAAATCAGAGTCCTCTAAGATAAACTGTGGCCATAGTAACTAAAAAACACCATGTGGAACAAATAAGGCCCAGTCAGAATTACAGGGGGCATGCTAGCCATACGCTCTTCCCAGGAATGCACTGCATGTGGAAGCCTTTCACAGTCTGTGACAGATTTGCCTGGGATATCTGGACTGTTTCTTCAGCAAGTTCAATCCCTCTCAGGGTGACACCTGATACTCTCAGACATTCTCAATCTGACTTAGCCACTCACCCTTGTATTTCACATTCCAGAAGTGCCTGAAGATCTTTTCATAGGATGGGTTGAAGGGTCCAATCTGCAATGATCACATTATCAACAGCTGCGCAAATCACTAGTCTGAAAATGAGTCTGTGCTTCTGGTCTGTCCTAAGGCAAGGGCCTCCACCATCCAGATATTAATGTACTAGAATGGCATAAGTATTTTATATCTCAAAACATTCCCTCTATCCTCAGAGCCATGATAATATTCCTGCTCCAAGGCTATATGAGCTTCTGTGTTGTATTGCTGCCTTTACAACTGCAGTGCAGACTTTTTGTGTGCACTGACCCTATTGCCCTTGCCTGCTCAGAGTGCTGTGCAAATGAAGAGAAACCCTTTCCTCTGAGAGCATTGCAGGCAGAAGTTCTCAGCTGCTAGGCTTCTCAGATAATCTCCTGGTTTCCAGTCAAAGCTGCATTTTTCCACCCACAAAAATTTTTTTTCTGCTGCTTCTCACAGTCCAGGGAGGTAAAGAATTACACTATTGGGTACCACAGGGCCATAGAGCTACAGCTCAACTATCTGACCAAGGCTGTAAATCATCTATCACACAAGACTATTTTTCAACTGCTACCAGTAGCTTTTCAGTCCAATAATCAATGCCTTTTTCATGACTTCTTCAGAGCTGGTGCTTAGCAACTCCTCTGACAACCAGACATAGTAAACTGGTGTCTTTATGTTAACTGTAAAACCCACCAGCTGTCTGAAAGGATCCCTAAGACCTGATCTCCATTGTTCACTAACTTGATTTTCAAATACGATTGCTTAGAAATAACCAGAATCCCAGTATTATTCCCTAGTGTAATATACAATACTCTGACACTTTTCACAGCTACAGCTTCCAAATGAAATGAAATTTAACACAAAATTACTGTTAGGATCTTAGAGGTGTTAGGAAGTGAGCTTGGGTAATATCAGTTAGAGCTTTGTTTGCTAACTGGAACATTTTACTTTTTGATGGAAATGTGGAAACTTGTGATTTTGTTTTGTTATACTGCAGAAAATCCTTACATTTAAAAATTATCTTTAAAGTTATCTTACTGAGGAGTTTTAATCCTCAATAAGAACTATAAAAGTACAATCTACTATTTTTTTTCTTTTTGTTTAAGAGCATTATTATCTTCATACATGAGACTTAAGAAAGAAAATTTGGAAAGCTATCCTGATATATTAAAATGTCACTGAACATACTTGTTTTCTGTAATCTGTTATTCAAAGAATCTGGGAAGTGAGCAGGGAGAAAACTGTGGTTAAATCCTAATTACATACAGCGGTCAAAGGCAGAGTTGTGCCTGCCTGTGGCTCTCTGCTATGTTCAAACTGCTTCATGCTACATTAGCCAGCTTTGAGTGAATGAGCTTGAAATTCACTGTTGCCTCTTGTTTGATAAACACTAGCAGTCATGAGTCTGTAAATAAATGCAAAAATGGATTTAACATAGCTGAAGTTAATTTACTAAAAAACATGAGGAAATACTCAGAATTCCTCTTTTCATGGCATTTGGTCCTGGTTTGGTATGTGCTGCTAGAATCTGACCCTGTTTATTTTTTTGTGAAAGAGGAAAGGAAGACCCTTTATTCAGCCACTGTATATAATAATAATAATAGTAATAATAATAATATAGGTAATTTTCTACATTAAAGGTCTCTCATAACTGAATGATTGAAAGCATATTCTAAGCAAACAGAAAATAAAGATTATGCATCCTACCTCAAGGAGAACAGCCAAAACAGCCAGTCCATCTGCTTTGTCCATTGCTGCTGTTATATCTGGGTATTTCTCAGAGTTGTAATGTACAATATGCAGCTACAAAGGAGGAGATTCTTTGTTACAATAAAATCTGGGGCATGCTCATTTTTATCTTTCACAGTTAAAAAAGACCTGCAGCCACCTCAGGATAAGACAACGTGCGAGGGCTCTTCAGTGACTTCTGGGTGCAGTGGTAACGTCTTTTTAGAGAAAGGCAGAAGGTCCTGGGACTCGCAGCCCTGCTGTAGCTGAGTTACACACACCCCACACCCCACTACGTGATAAGGGGAGAAAGAGGATTCATGACTTCAGCTTCAAGGTATCTTGACTGGAGTGCTACTAATTTTTTCTGAAAAAAAGAACACCTTAGCACTCCAATATTTGGAATGCAAACCCCAGTGTTAAATACGACTAGAGAAGAAGCAGATTCCTAAAGTGCTGTAATGCAAGCAAATTATTCTGGCTAATTTCATTTTTTAAATAATTTTGAGGTAAATATCTGATTGGTAGTGCTTATCAAAATCTATTCCCAAATCCATAATTTAAAAATTAGAAAAGATAAGTAGTTTGTCACTGTGCTGAAGAAGGTGAGTAAAGGTAAACAGAGCAGCACTGTTGTGCAGCTAAAAGTTACCTCAAGTGACCTGATGCCAATTCTGAATTTTAGACTCTAAACTCCAGCTCCCTGACTTAGTATGTCCAAATCGATCTTTTTTTTATTGTGCACAACCCTTTTTTTTTGTATATCCCCAGATCATAAATACTTGGCTTAGAGCCTCATAGCCTTTTACAGTCATTTACCTAAGAGAGAGATCCTACTTTGAAACAATAGAACCTACCCACCCTTCTTGGCTTCTTTTCTTGATCTGAGCTGGCCTGCCTTACCTCTGCTGCAAAATGCTTCCCACTGACAGTGAGCTCAGAGCCTTTGGACTTGTTTCAGTTTCCCCAATGCAGGTGAATTTGAGACACAGTGTATTCAAATGGGAGGCTTCTGATGGACATAGCAGGTGACAGATACATTTTCACTACAAGGAGATCAAAACCAGATAGGAACAAATGATACCACAGCACTCAAGAACAGGACAAATAAAAATACCATGTCTAAGTATGTTATATATTGAGTATGAAAAAAGCAGATTCTTAACTCAAATTCATCTCAGTCTGTGGTAGAAGATAAACGCTTCTGTTCTCTTTAAGCCTTTCTTGGTAGATCAGGATTTAGAGCATTTAGAACATACCCGTTTCTATTTTCCTAAATATATGAATTTAATGTGACAATTGTTGCTAGTGGAAATCTTTGAAGAATGTGAATTTATCTCAGACATTGAGGAGACAATTATTGATATGTCAAAGCCAAATTTAGGCTCATGTATCTTCTTTTTGTAATGATTGAAAATGGTTTAATAAATTAATATTTATCATGGTAATTTATATCCCCTGTTTTATTGAACTCTGCTGTCTCTTAATCTTCTTTTAGGAGCACCTTCTTTTAGGATAAAACCAAATAAACTCCCCCCTTTCCTTGCTGCTCCCAAAAATCCAGAATACTGATGTTGAGCAGCAAGATAATCGTAGGCCTTAAGAATGAGCATTTCCTCTCTTGATAGAGACCTTTGTATGCATGACCCTCACTTCTGCCCACACGACCCTCACTTCTGCTCACTAAGGCTCTTGGGTGGGGAAGGCATGCTGGCTTGTTGGAGATTTTTGTGTAGAAATTACAGCAGTAATTCTCAACCCAGCAGAAACTTCTCAGTTGTTCACTTGGAGCATTTGGTATTTCATAAAGCAATGGCTTATGTCAAGAACAGATTGATTTTTTTGCAATTTATCTTTATTATTTTCCAGACTGAACACAGTTTGTTTTTGGACTGCCCTGGACATGTTTTTCAGGGGAAACAAGGCTCAAAACTGTAGTGAAATAACAGCTGTGACCCTCTGTATTTTTAGATTCCTACTGAAAAGGAGTTTTTTTAAGCTCTACTGTTTTCAGTCTAGGTGATTGTATGAGCTGGCTGGTGAAGAACATCAATTATATATAGGAATAACTTAACAGCACAATACTAAGCATCCTTCTGGTTTTCTCTAGCTGAAAGAGATATTAGCAGCAGATGGTATAATGATCAATTCAACAGAGGCTAATTTTTTGTTACTCAGAGGTAAATTAATTTGTATCTAAGTGCGGTTTCTAGAGTAGGACGCATCTCTACTCCTTCTAGGAGCAGTAGAGGTGCATCTGACCTTGGAAATTAATTTCCATTTTCTTGAAGGGGTTCTTGAGTTGAGACTTTTGTCTCGACTTTCTTTCAGAAATAATCAAACTTCATATTTTAGAGGTGGGATCTGACAGTGGTAGTGACTTAGCTTCTCCAAGGAATATGCTTTTACCAGTGTGACTGTTTTGGGAAGGACAGACTCTCAGTGTTGTTCTTTTGGCTCATTCTTCACTTTGGCACCCTTCAAGTACAGAGTAACAATATTTCCTTCTCTGCCTATTGCCTGTCACATCAGCTTGATGCATTCAACTGTGAAAGTCCAGTCTTTCACTTAGGACTGAGAAGAACCTTTAGGAAAAGAAGGCTCACAAGGAAAGATGTCCCAGTCATTCCTAGTCTGAAGCAACCTGGTTTTAAAGGAGAAATTGATCAAGAGGAAAACCAGGAATCTGTCCCAAGAGGTTGGCCCTTACTGAAAAAAGGGCTTATGATGTTCAATTGAGATGGTCAACTTCACTGAAAGAATGATTTAAAAAGAGATTTTTGCATGTTGGAAAATTTATAACCAAGTATGTGAGACCAGAGGCCATTTTATAATGTAGGTTATTTTGATACTTCTGCAATAAAGGAGAATACAAAGAAGGAGGGCTTTATAACTATTCTTATTTCTAGGTCTTCAAGTGTTTCAGGAAGGAATGAAAAATGGTGGGGCTGACTCACTGGTATTGTATATTGTGTCATTACAGGAGACCTTTATGAGACAGCATCATCTGCCTTTACCTACTGTACTGACACTGATTTAGTGTTACTGTGGGGAGGATCTGTTTGTACATTATTTCTAATTATTTTTCTGTCTTCTTACCTACCACTACATATCACTGTCTATCTTACCTTACACTAAAGAGGTTTCTGTCTCCAGTCAAAAGAACAAAATCGTGCTCCTACATTTTTTTTCCTCTTCCCCATGTCCTCATGTTGTTCAATTGAGCTGCTTTGAAGAATGGAAGAGACGCATTCCCCATATGTTACCAGTTAATATCTTTTTAGCAGAATCACAAAGTCTGTTTCTGTTTCAGTGCACCACAACCAAAGTAATAAAATCTTGGGCATTAGTTCTGATATACCTAGATTTTATTTTAAATTTCTTCATTGTTACGTGTAATAGATATAATTAGTGCCATTTCTAATATGATATATGTGATACTGAATATTTGTTAGAGTATACACGTTTGTATTAGAATTCTATACACATTTGTATTAGGATTCCCCCCCACCCTCGCAGGCGAGACTGGGTGTATAATGGAAACTGATTTACAAGTAAGAAGGTACTGCTCGCCAGGAGATGGGCCATGTCTGGGGAGCTACGGGAACCCCAGATGCTGATCGTTAGCGTGAACGACCCGAGATGGATATCATGGAAATCCTCAGGCAGATACATGTGAATACAGCGTTCCCAAATTCCCGTAAATTTCATCAAGGGATTCAACAAACTCTCGACACTGAATTGTTCTCCCTCATCACCAAAAAAAGAGAATCTTATTAACATATGGACTCTGAATAGAAGAAAAGACTGATTGCTGAAATCTTGGCCTCAGGCGGAATTTTCCCTATAAAAACCGCTTGTGCCAGGATGGAGGTGTGTGAGCATGGAGGAAAACCTCTGATGAAGCTGACTCCTTGTTGCACACCCAGGGCCAACCCCGGGCTCGGCTCTGTTCTTTCCTTGTGGCTGGCTAGATAGAATTTGATTGCAAAATAAATATTTTATTTTTTCATATTAATTTGGCTGGAAAAATTTTCATTTATAACAGTAGCATTGTAATAGTAGTTTAATAAAGTTTTTTCCTTTGTTATTAAGCTTAAGTCTGCTTTGCTCTGTTCCTGAACACATTTCACAGCATTCAATTGAAAAGTTGCATTTTCATAGGTGTGCTAGCATTGTGCCAGTGTCAAACCATGACAACTTAGTACATGCCCAAATTTCTCTAGCCTGTTCTGTAGATGTAGGTATGCTGATGTGAAGGCTTTCTCATCTGATTAGCAGCTTAATTTAATCTAATAATCAAAGGAGTCCACTCATGAAGTAAAAAAAACAATTAGTTCCTGCAGCTCTTTCTTTTACCCTTCCTTGGTGTCTGTGAGCTCCCTTACCTTGAATGGCCATTATTGATCAATGTAAACTGGTCAGTGGAGGGCACTTTACAGCCTATGAATTCTAAAGGCAAGAGATTAGAGTCATACTGGAGAATAGCTTTGTGGAAATCAATTGGTGATTGGAATACTCCTCCACAAAACAGGTATTTCTTTGGCCAGGCCTTCTCTCCATCAGGACCTGCATGAATTAACAGAGACACATTTGTCAAACTTTCACTATGCAGTTAACACAGACATTCTCCTGTGTCAACCTTCACACAAAGTTTGGAAAATAAGCCTTTTCTAAATTTTAAAGACTTTTATTTTTCAAAAAAGGACCTCATTAAAATTGAGGTAATGAAGGATATGATCATTTTTCTGAGGGTGTAGTGACCTAGAGACAGGTCTGATTACATCTGACCCTCATATTTTTTCTTACTGTACAAACTGTCTGGCACTATCTAACAGGATTGCATAATTTACAGTGAAAAGCTAACTTGCAAAAATGGAAGGTGTTATGGCGATTTGACTTGCAATAACTTGCTCAAACTCTGGTGAAACTTTTCTTCATCGCAGCCTTTTGCCTGAGGTAATATCTGCAAAGAATAGATAATATCAAGAGAATTTTAATTGTGCCTTTGATTTCATTCCACATTAACATCTAGCAGATGTTTACAGACCACAAGATGAGATGATTTGGATTTAAATACCAGAAGAGGTACTTACAATTTTGTTTCTCCGTGTGTCTGTACATTCATTATTCTTTCCAAGGCAGGAAGGTCCTTAGGGATCACCCAGTCTGATCTGTGTAACACAGGACACTGGGCCTCCCTGGATCAATTTCGAATTCCATGAAGCCATTTTTTTCAGAAGGGAATAAACATCTATTCTTTCTTTAAGCATTGCAGATAAAAGATACTTCATTAGTGCCCAATGGATAATTACTCTCCTTGGCAGCTTGCTTTTCACTGTGAACCTGCTGTTCCCATGCTTTTGCTCCTCATTGAAGTACTTATAATATAGAGGATATAGTTTCTCACTTCTCTTAAACTATGTAGATTGAGTCCCTTGAGTCTTTGATTAGAAGGCTTCTTTTCCAAAACTATAATATTCCCAGAGGCTTCTTTGAAGATCAGGTCATCAGTGGCAAAGCCTGTTCAGATATTTTCTGAAGGAAATTAACAGGCAGGAGGATTCTATTAGCAGTTCACCTTATTTACATGAAAGACAATTGCCAAGTAAATGGATAGTGGGGGTGAATCTTACTTAAGCATAGTACATGTGACAGAATCAACAAAATCAGTTCTGATGCTTAGAGACAGGCTTACTTGTTGCAGCATTTCTGAGACAGAGAGTGCATGATTTATGTCTGGAATGAGATTTGAGCTACTCCAGCCTAGGCCTCAGATCTGGACCTTGTGAGGCCTTCAAGCCTGTGATGCAGTTAGAAATTAAGAGTTTGTGGTGCAGTTACAAATTATATTAAGGTGTGATGTGAAGCACTGGGCTTTCTGGGTGTGAAGTAGTACAGGTTTATAGTGTGAAGTTTAGTCCACCTTAAGACAAAGACAAACAATGTTAGTTTGCCAATGAGAGTGCCTTTTTAAACTGTAAACTATATAGAAGTGTATATAAACTGCGCTCTTCTCACTAATAAACTGAGAACATTTGATTAACAATATTGGTTTGACCTGCGTTTGTCCAGTCCAGCTTTCCTGTCTAATAAGGCCCCTGGCTTTGCTTACTTCCTTGGTAAAGCTGTTTAAGAGTATTCAAGACATAGGGTTAGCAGGTGACATTGTTTGCAGTGTGGATACTCAGACTCAATCAGTGCTATTCAGTATAAATAGTCCTTGCTGTTGCTGAACTTAAATTTTTGATTCCAGTTCACTGACAATCACATCAATTTCTTTCTTCTTACATCCTTGTGATACTATCTTAAAGTTGCTGAAATTATTTCAAAAAGCTAATAAATTTTATGCTGACATTATAGAAGCCTCTCCTCTACCTATTTTTGGCAAATAACAAATACATCCAGAAGAGCATAAATTCCGTACTGTGGAATACATACTGAAGAATATTTCCCAGGAAAATATGCATTAAGATATACCAAGAAGTGACAGTTTCTTAGGTTCAAGCTTGCTGTGCAAGACAATGACACTAAAATTTAACATTTTACAAGGAACTAAGATTACAGCAATGTCAGAAAATTGAGAAGCATTTATTGTAAAAAGATTTCAATAATGTTAAAAGGTTTGATAAGGTAGTGAATTTGCAAGAAGATTTTAACATATTACTTATCACAGCTTTGGAAACTTGATAATTAAATAGGTGATTGATTGTCATGGTTTGACACTGGCACGATACTAGTGCCCCCCCCATGAAAATGCAATTTCTCAACTGAATGCTGTGAAATGCGATCGAGAACAGAGCAAAGCAGGCCCAAGCCTAATAACAAGGAAAAAAAACTTTATTAAACTACTACCACTATGCTACTATAAAAGAGGGGGAAAAAAAAAGAAGAAAGAAAACCACACACAATTCAAAATGAAAACCTTCCAAAGCATTCCTCCTCCCACCACCCAACTCCAACAAACCACAGTGAGACACAATCTGGACCCCAATCAGGTTTTCACCCTCCAGATAATCAACACTCAGTCCATCTACAGGGAGAGAGGAGTCTCTCTCTTGTGCCACAGACCCCCCAAGAAACACAGCTGCCACATCCTGTGCTTCCATGTCACACATGGCACCGCCCGGAGAAAAAGTTTGCCAGTGGTGACCCTCTCCTTTCCATGCACAGTGCTCTCACCACCAATGCATGGATGGACAGACTGCTTTTAGGATTTTTTCTTTTCAAGGATGCCCTGCCAAGAGGGGGAAAAAACAACAGTTCAGTTTTTTATTTTTGGGACCACAGTTCCCCGCATTTCCCCCTGGGGCCGAGGATCCAAGAACAGAGATCTTATCTTCTTCCTCTGCGAAGACAGGGGGCACCACCACAAACCTCCTTAACTTTTCTCTGTTCGCTCCACTTCTGTCTTTTCCCAGCTGAAGCAGGTCTCTTTGGCTCACAAGCATCCTCCTAAAATATAGTCTCTCTTGGAGGAGAAGATCAGTTCAGTCTGTGGCTAACAAGAAAAAGTCCAGCTAAAAGCCACTCCATCATCTCCTCCCACCTGGAATTTCTCCTTCCAACATCCCAGGTCCCAGGTTGTCTCTCTTCCTCTCTTTTCAAACCAAGGAGGAGAAAAATTTCACAAAGCTTTCATTTATCAGGAAGGGTTAAAAGTCCCGACTCCCAGAGACGGCTTGCTGCCCAGGCTCCAGCTCCCACAGGCGGCTGGGCACCTTGCGGCCCCCCCGCTCTTCTCCTTCCCCGCGGTGAACTGCTGACAAAAGCACCGCCGTCTCTTTTTCTCTCTTGGGAGAGAGAGACTCTGGGGGGAACGGAGACATCCCAGATTTTCTCCACCCTTCCATCTGCAGGGGGCCAGCCCGGTTCCAGTCCCTCCACCCTTGGGCCTACCTCCAAAGGCCACATGGCTTCTCCCGTCCCCCACCCAGCTCGTGGCCGGGCAGGGGAGAGTCCTGCACTGACCGCTGACCGGAACCCAAGAGAGCGAGTTCTCCTGGGAATTCTGCTTTTAACCCCTCTGTGTTCTCAGAGGCGTGTCTACCTTCAATTGGTCAATGTCCAAATTGACCTCTTCCTTCCGGAAAAATTCTTTTTCCGTGTCAAACCACGACATTGATGTATAAAATAAAAGTCTACTCCCAGCCAGGGAGTCATGAAGTACCAATCATTTTTCAGTACTGTGTTTGGGGGATTTAAATGTCTGGAAGAGCTGGCAAGAGAATATGGGAACTTCACACCTACATCACCAGTTCAGAAGGAAAACTTTTGTCTCTTTTATAAAATGATGCAGCTGTTGCAGTCTTTATGTACCTTGACCCTTTTCTTGACATATATCTGCAGCTCCACTCACAGCCCCTTAAGCTACAGAATGTTTTGCTTGTTTCTCATTCCTGCTCAAGTTAAAAAAAAACCCAACAAAACCAAACAAGACCTCTTTTTTGGTACAAACCCAGTTTTTATAGAAGTTCTGTCTTTTGTCATGTAGTCTTTCTAATTTCAGTGCCTCAAAACTTCTGTCTCAAAGAGCTGAGCTTAGTTTTGCATATGTGAAATTGAGATTTCTAAGGCAGATAAGCCACACAGCTGGAAGGCATTTCTTAGTTAGGTCTGCTGAAAATGAATGATTGATTGTGAACCAGATTTTCCTTTTTCTGTGTCAGTACACTCAGATAAATTCAGTAGAAATCACATTGTATTTACAAAGGCTTTGGCTGATCACTACTGAATAAAGAAGAGCTTGTGCATGTAAAAATCGGCCTGTGCTACAAGTCCCAAAAGATATTAACATAATAATATATAAGAAATATTGCCAAAAAAAAGAAGTATTGCAAAATTATCTTCAAAGTTAATTTCCTTTTTGTGTGACACATTTGTGACCCAGGCATTTCAGAAGTGTTTGCTGCTATGAGGATCCCACCAGGATTGTGTCAGCAGAGCTCTAATTGTGCCATGGGCCTGTTCTACCCCCTCAAAACTCTAATTCAGCTGTTGGAGTGAGCATATTAAGGTAGGGAGCTGCTGGTGTCATTGGAAGTAGGATCCTTCCTGCTACCACTGCTCCCAGTGCTGCGAAGAGCCCTCCCTGTCCTAGGGGGTGCAAAGTCAGGCTGCTCAAATCCAGCTTGTGGACTGCTTTGCTTGACACAAGTTCAGAGGACCACGTTCCCTTACCACACTGAAATTAGCCCTGAGCCTGACTGTGTCCTCATGGCTATTTAATAAAAGATGTCTGTAAATAAAGCAGGAATCATTTGCTGGATTGTCTGGCTGCCCACTACCCAGTGAGCTGAGCAAAACACCCTCAGCACCAAGGCTGCATGTGTCCATCATAACATTTCCTTTGGCAGCTTTGTGCTTTCCAGCCAGCCCCAACAACACTGGTGCTGCTGGGCAATGCAGGACAGATGTTCCTTCATGAACAGTGTGTCTCCTCACAGGATATATACATTGACCCATTTAAGATAAGGAGAAAACAGCCCTGTGAGACACCAGTGGTACCATCAGACTGTTGCTCTGATGACCAATTAATATTCGTGTTGTTCCAGCTTCTCATAGTCTATGCAAGTTCTCTTGATCTGAAGTACTGTAGTAAATACATTGGGTCAGTAGTCCAGGGAATGTCTGTGGTATTTTTGCAGCCAGGCAGAGAGCTCTTTGCCCTGTTTTCAGCCAGCTGGAAGCTGTAAAGCTGCCATTTGCCCAGGGCTGAGGTGGTGGTGAAGGCTGAGTCCAGGGTTCCTGCCATGGTGACATAACCACATGGTTTCCATTTTGCTCAGTGCTCAGTAATACCATTTTGTGCACACAGAGCCAATATGTGTGTATCTTCCACACGTGTCCAGAAGCAAGCTTGTGAGATAGAGGAATTGCCAGGGGCTGTAGTTGTCACTGTTACTGCATTCAAGTGCTGTATGAGAAACCTGGAGTATGTTCTACTGTGTTCACTAAAGCTGGCATTTCTTAAGGGAAAGTGGAAGGGTCTTAGCAGAGGTTCTCAGCACCTCACTGAATTGGAGTATTTGGCAGCAGCAGAATGGAAGAGTTTTCAAGTACAATTAGCCTGATGTCTATTACCAACAGTTAGTGTCTGCATTGTAGCATAAATTTGTCTCTTCACATGCTAAAGTACATTTATAATTCTGTTGGCACTATTACTGCTAAAGCACATCGATAATTCTGTTGGCACTATTACCTTAAATTTGTCTGCAAAGCTAGTTTTCTCAGTTGGAGCTGCTTGTCCACTCTGAAAGGGTGATTCTGGTGCTCTGATTTCATTCCAGCCCACTTACACTACAGAAAAAGAGCCAAAACCCAAAAAATTGAAGCCTAACATCCACTTCTACAGTTGGTTTTTTTTTCTGGGTTTTTTTCTTTTTTTTTTTTTTGGGGGGGGGGGGGTGTTTGGAGTTTTTTTAGTTGGTTGGTTGTTTTTTTTTGTGGGGCAGAAGACTTCAGCCTGCACTTCACAGCCACAGAGCAGCATTGCCAAAATCTGCCCGCATATGCTGTCTTGAGCTGTGAGGCATTGGAACCACTCTTTCAGCTCTTTAACTTTCCTTATAATATACTTGATCTACTTTGTCCACTTCACAGAAGGTGGAGCTACATTTCAGAGAACACAAAGCAAACCTGTGTCACCAGGGCTGGAGGGCTCAGGCCTCACTGCTCTGTGGTGTTTCCTTTGGTCACTTTTTCTTGGTCTATATACAAGGGTAGTGGAAACAGGAAGAACAAATAGCATTGCTTCAGTTAGACTAAGGAAGAAGCAAACAGGAGTGGTTTAGCCTTTATATTTGATGTATCTAATGCAGCACTTTCCATTACATGCAAGGCAAACTCTCATGTCTTTGGAATGCCTGTGCTGAATAGATAAGGCCTGATCACATGTGATGTCATCTTGCTTTGCCACTATGGCCTGAGGTACTAACTCTGCATCAACATTCAGTTTTACATATTGTAAAATATGTAAAATACTCAACAAATAGAAATCTCTGACAATGAGCACTCAGATTTCTCCTCCACTCTTAATCTTGTACCTTGACCCTCATCTTGACATCAGTCTGCAATGCGGTTATAATGGCTTAATTTCCTTTCCATTCCTATTGACCTAATTTTAGTGAGAGGCACTGCAAAATGTTTCAGGGGCAAAGGTAAACAGTGGAAGATTTAGAATGCCCTAAGGAACTAGGATCATGGAGGGGCTCTTTCCTGGCAGTCTCTCTAATAGCTGTTTTTCTCTGTGGGCATCAGTGCTTTACCTCTGCTTTTCTGTACTATTCTGTGCAAGTTCAGTTGCCACTTCAGTTTTTTTAAGTTACTTTTATATATTTGCTTTTATATGTTTTTCTAGATATGTTTTAAAATCTATAGTTGAAGGAAAAAATAATCTGTTTTGTGAACCTTCTCTCTATCTTCCATACATTTAGAATGTCAAAATCAGACTGCAGTATGGAAGAGCTTAACAGGAATTGATGAACTTGGACACTGAGAATAACATACTTTGAAATCAACAGTGGTATCCAAATTCCTAGGAAGGGAGAAGTAACTAATTTAAACAAGCATTACCATGGGAAAGAGGGCAAAACTTCTGCTTTCGTTGTAGTAAAAAAAAAAAAAAAAAAAATGTTTTCTTTACTATCCAGCAGGGTTAGATTTATCTGATGGCTGCTGTCAAATTGGAAAACCCAGGCTTTTGTTAAAGCTGTGTCAAGCTTTTTCCCTACTGGGAATGTGAGGTCTATGTGTGGACACTGGCAGATACATATGCAGCTGACAGTTCTTCTTCTGCTTATGTGAAGCAAGTCAGGTAAACTGGAGCACAGCCAAAAGGAGGAGTTCCTAGCAGCAAGATCAATCTCAGAGGTTCTTTGTGTTGTCTTGGGACAGCACCAAAAGCTTAAGCAAGCATTTTTTTCTGAGATTCTCCATACTGCCTACTTCTGTGTGGGTATTTGGCATATAAAATGCTACTCTGAATGAGGAAATAACTCGCTAGAGGATTTGATCAATTAAAAGAAAAACACTAAATAATTCTTTTCCTGAGCAGCCACCAGGTCCTTCTGAGTTAGTAGATGACTAAAAGGATTAGTTACAAACTAACACTGCCTTCCTAAAGGTGATATATTCTGCTTTGTTATTTCTGGGATCTTCAGGGACCTGAGCCTCCAGTAACAGAATACAGGTGACTTACGGAACTCTGATTCTACTTGAAAAACAAGACACATGTGGGTAGGGGGCGAATGCTCTTTGCAGAATTAGGCTAGAATGTGCTGCTGGCCTGTGACAGCTGAGAAAACAGAGGGCTTTGGGGACCCTCTGCAGTTGTAGGGCCAGCTTTAGTCTGCTGAAATTCCTGTCATTCCACAAGGAAATTTAGAATTCAGTAACTGATTCTCAGTCACACAGATATGAAACATGGTGGATGAATAACAGCTTTCAAGAAAATTGACCAGATTCAAACCTGGGTAAGGATTGTGATCCCAGTAAGTACTCACCAGAATACATTTGGCTGATTGTCTTTAAATCACAGAAGAAAGCCATAACTTTGTATGTATGAATTAGTACTTACCAATATAAGACCATTTTAACGCTGTTTAAAGACAAAGGAAATACTACTTTGAGTATTTGAAATTGATCTTACTCTGTAAAGAAACAAATCGCTATTTAAACCCATGTATCGAATGTTGCAATGCTTTTGTCTATCTTTTTAGTCCCAGCTGTTGAGCAAAACATAGAAAAGCATCAATACTTTCAAACCTTCTGATATTTTATGAGCCTTTCTCTCTCAAATTGTAACTATAATTATCCCTGTGATCCTGCCTGTAGGGGTGAATTTCATGTGGTCACCTAAGTCTTGGGGCAAGACTGCTCTCAGTACTTTTTTTTTAATTGGAATATCCACAGATTGTCTGTAGGAACACCCCAGGGATTTTTTCTCTAGTTAGGAAGCTAAGGAATATAAGTGGAGTGTAACTACAATAAGCCCCCTTATGCCTTGTTGAGGAGTTTGAAAAACATCAGTGATATGCTGAGAAGTGATGGACAGAAATGAATAGACAGACTTTGAAAAAAGGGAGTATGACACATGAACCCATATAACTCAGAGAATCCCAGGGAGAGTTAGTGAGTGTTAAATGAGCAATACTCATCCACTACTTAAGGAACTGAACTTAGGACAGTATCTCTGCATGTTTTTGGAAATGTCTTGACTTATAAAATGCTCCTTTTAATATTTTTTCCTGGTCCTGAAACCTATTTAAAATCACTCAACTTGCTGCATAATTAGAGGTGCTCATCTTGACAGACCTGAACAGTTTGGGTTATCAGGATAATGCTGATCTTTATTCTCTGCAAATTTAATTTTATTTCTGCTTAGAAAACAGTCCTGAAATACAAATCTTACAAACAGTGAGCCTGTGAGTGGGTCTGTATGCATGCAGGCAAATATTTATCATTACATGCACTTGTCTGTTCAATACATGGTTCTTGGCAGCATTTCTTGTGCTCTGAAGTGTGGTCACAGATGCAGCTCTTCCCTAAAAATGTTGTGTGAAATATTTGGAATTAATTTGTTGGGTTCTGCAAACCAGGTGCATTTAGCTCTTTTGTATTGATATGTTGTGGGAACATGAAACTCTCTGCTTTCAGTTTGTTAGGATCAGTGTGCCTTGTTTCTTTACACTGGAATTTTTAAGGCAAGGTCTCTGTAATCATCCTGACTCAAGTCCTCAGGTTCCTCTCGTAGAAGAATTCACATTTAAGATTTCAGGATGAGAAACCTCATTCTCCTCTTGCCTTCTCTCTGCAGGAGATTATCTCTTACTGGGGTTTTTGGGGGTTGCTTGTGTCTTTTGGTCATTCTGTAGACAAAACTTGCATAAAGATAGAAACAACTGGCATTAGGTTTTAGAAATATCCTCATGTGAGGAGGGTTTGAAGAAATACTGGAGAAAAGCAATAGCTACTGTGTTCATACTCTTATTGACCATTAAAATTTGTATGAGATGTCAAAATGATGAGTTTTATAATCTACAGCATCCTTAAAACAATCACTTTTAGGCATTTACAATATTTTGGTCAGTTATACCACTTAACACAAAAGTAAGTGAAAGCTTCAAGTTTTTTGCCAAATGAAATATTCCTTAACCTGCGAGCATTTTGATGATCTGTGTGGAAACCCAGGGCAAGGGGAATATCCCCCTGTCTGCCTTGGGGTGCTCTGACTCCCAGGAAAACACTGACTTTGACCCTCATTCATGAAGAAAACTTCCAAAGCCTCATGGTAAACTAGAAACCACAAAAGTGTGAAATAGATTGTAGAGATTGTAGATAGTAGTGTAGTATGTCACATGGGTGAGAAATTTAGGTTTTAGGATTTTTAGTATGTTATAGATGGGTTCAAGATGGAGGATATAGGGTGTCGTCTCGAGTTCTTTTCTTCTCCTTCTTCCTCTTTCTTCTTGGATTTAGGTGGTATCTTGTAATTGGGTAGAAAAATCTGCATTGTGGGTCTTTAGGGGTCAGTTATTGGGTTAGAAAGGAAAATAATTTAGGTGTCACTTCTTAATTGGGTAGTTTAGTTTTTGATTAGACTTAGAAAGACCTTGCAGCATGAGGTTGTTGGCTATTTTTGTGCTGTTTTCACACATGCAAGGTCTGGGCGCAGACAGCGTGCTTAAGTTTTGATAACAATAGACAGAAACTGAAGGCCGAAAAAGTCCAGCGCATCTCTCATTCTTGACACAGAACTGCTCCAGGGGTGTCTCCCCTGCCAGGGGAGCCCCCAGGCAGTTGCCCAACTTGGGGCCTGCAAACTCACAATCTGCTGTTTGCTACCATTATGACTTTTTGGTGACCACAGCCATAGAGATGCTGTCGGTAGGGCTGAGGCACATTTATGGTCATTTCATCTTGGATCAGTAGATGAATCAATGACCAGATGGCAGAAACTTCTTGATTTTATCTGAATGAACACAGAGAGCTGCCAACCTCAGACCCTGAGCAAGATTTTTATTGCTGGCTAAGGATCTATGTACAAATCATGAATGGGACGGGACTGCTGAGGAGCGCATCTCGAGCTATTTATTTTCCAGCATCACTCTCATTACATAGTTATGACAATGGGAAGATGCCAGCAGCTCACATCCCTGGCAGCAGACAAAGAACTCAGTGTTACAACTCACTTAAAAGTTTTTTGACCAATCACACAAAGCAAAAGCTTATTGACAGTAGTTCTATCCAATCTTTATAAGCACACGTACTTTTTTGTTAAAACAATGCTTGCTTATTTCCAATACAATACCTGCTTGCAAGCCTTAAGGTACAATGCACAGAGCTCCATTATTAAGCTTAGAACTTCCTAATATCTCACTAGATATACTTTTCTGTACCTTAGGGGGTTATTCTAGCCAAGTGTTAATACACAGACCATTGTTCTGTTTGTTCTCACTTTTCTACTTATATAACTTTTCTGCTGACAAATCTTATGGCTACTGCTTAGCTCTAATAGCAGTTCTGCTGTGTATGAGGCCTGCCTTTTGCAGCTTTCCCAAAACCCTCTGATTTTAAGGATTCCCACTGTTGCTTTTATTCTGCCTGATAATGAAATGAGAATCAGGCAGACTGTCACAGGGTGTCAAATTGAAGGATTCCCGTTTAGAAGTGAACATTCAATGGCTCTATATCTGTGGACACTCTCCTGGCTATTTGTTCATGTTGGAATGAGTATTGATGAGTGATGCAGAGTGATACCTCCATGCATGGCAGAGGAGGTTCCTAGAGCAGTCAAACCTGTGTTTGACTGATCAACAGGCAGGGAAAAAATACATTTCCAGTGTCTCTGGAGAGCTAGGAAAGTGTAAATGGTTGTAGGTGTGATAATCTACTTGAAAAGATGTCTGAGATAGGCAGATACTGTAGCTCTTGCCATTTCTTGGGACTAGGTTCCAACTAAGTGTGAGACAGGGCCTCTCCAGAATTCCCTTCAGGATGTATTGTAAAACATATCTTTTCGTCAAATCCTTTTAATTCCAAACTTTCTGTATGGTCACAGAAAGCATAAAGCTTTATTTATTCTGTTGTTCTGGAAAGCATCAAGTTCTAGGAACCTCTGTCCTTCAGTGGGAGATTCTGCTATAGACTGTAGGCATTTTTTCAGAGGACATATGCACAAAATAAGAAGATGACCTTAAAAGTTTGAATTCCATGCCTTTTGCGGCTCATGGAAAAAACCTGGCAAACTGCTTGTCCTGACAGAGCTCTCCATGAACTAACAGCTCTGGATTATGTTTGAACTTCCTGGATTATTGTCCCATGAATATACGTGCTGAGTAACACAAAACTTTAGAACAATTCCCCTTATATTCTATAATAAATCCCAGTAGATTATAATTAGTTTGAAAAAATGAAAATTTATTATAATCAGCTTGACTACATGAACACTGATTCCTAAAAAGAGAATGAGGAGTGCCAACCTCCTGAAACTAGTCTTGTTTCCAATATAAGAGAATGACCTCTAGTGTAGGGTGCTTCACAGGGATTGATGTTTTTCTCTCTGGTTTAAAAATAAGCAGGCAGATGGAAAGGTGTGATGCTTACACTAACTCTGAAAGGGCCAGTCTCCGCTTCATTTTATGAGAAATAAAAATCACAAAGCAAAGCATACTGAGCATGCAAGAAATCTGTAATACAACTAAATAAGAGGACCAATTCTTCTTCCCTGTAGAAGTCAGAATACCTATTCTGAGCAATTGAAATAAGGATACTAACTCCAAACAACAGCAGACTGCAACAATATACAACTTTGAATATGATTGAATAATAATAATGAAAGGATGCCATTTGTCTGCATAAATGGCTGCTTTAAGGTACAAGAGACAATAAAATAGAAAGCTGAAAGACTTTACCATTCAGCGGCGCTTGCATAGAGAGCTGTATCTTTAGGAAGAAAATAAGCACTGTAGCCACTGTGATTATCCTGAAGCTCTTGGCTGACATCTCAAGGAAAGACTTATAATATTCCAGCAGTTCACGGGTTTCTTTGCGCTCTGAAGAAATTCCCTTGTAGACATGTGGCAAATAGCAGAATGCACATATACAGAGATTCTTCTAATGAGGTATTGCCCTCTTCTCCCCTTTTCGCTCTACTTGCCTTTAGGACTGCTTTTTATAAAGCTCCTGAGACTCAACCCAAAGCAAATGATGTAATCAGACCTGCCTCTATGTCAGAACACCCTCAGAAGACTGATCATATCCTTCATTACCTCTGTTTTAGTGAGGTCCTCACAGGGAAGACTCCAGCACTTGGAGAATTTAAAAATGGAACTTGAGAAATTATTTAGAAGAGACAAAAATGTTAAAAAAAATCTGTACTCCTATGGGCCATACTGCAGTAGAGTTTCTTTAGCCTATTTCAGAGAGTCTCCCTCAGCTCCCATTTTTGAATCAGTTGGATGTAGTATAATGGCCCACTGTGAGGACTGGAGGGAAGGAAGGAGAAATGAGGCTCTGTGTGTAACTGGTAATAACTCAAAGGGACCATGGACACTTCCCACAAAAACCATCCAACTTGTCAGGAGCTGATTTTTTTTGAGCTGAAGGCTCTTGGACACAGGAGGACAAATGAAGTAGGGAGGACTGAAAATTCATGAAGCAACAGTCATAGAATCTGATATTATTCAGGACACGTATGGAGCAGGGTAAAGAGGAGCACAGGGTATAAGTTAACGTCCTCTTCTGTCAGTGTTTGAGGAATAAGCTCTTAAAGTGAGGATAGCGGAGGAGCAGAAGGTGGGATTGAAGAGACCATTGGTTTTATTTGAGTACATTATTATTTATAATCGTTATTAACTGCTTGCTATGTATCAGTAACAGCTTTATCAAGTATTAGTATTGATTGGTCAAACTTTATTTTCAACATCTTTTTTTTATCAGGTACTGTGTAATTGCTCAATGTTATTAGACTTTCTTATTTTTTCCCTATCATTTATAAGGTAGATAAGGGAAAGTTGACTGTAGCATGGCCCACTTCTTGGCCCTGCCTTGATCCCAGGCAGGGCCCTGCTGTAAAGCATGGTTCTGGTCCATTGCTGCTCTTCATCCATAGCCCAATCCTCCCAGTTTAGGTAGAGGGAGTCTGCAAGGAGCAGCACCAACTAATAAATGTCCTGTAGCCTTTTAGAAAGCAGCTGTGGTTGAGAACACTTCCTTTTATACTTCTCCTTAGCATTTTGTAAACCTAGATTGTAATTCTACTTGTTTTGGTTCAGACAGATGTAACTAAGAGTTAGAAACTGTAAGCTATAGTGAAAATGTTTTTAATATGACTTTGCGAGTGCCATTGTCCAAAGCAAAGGGACATTCTCTACTACATTGGTACAAAAGGCATACTGAGTGTTCAGCATGAGGGCTATCAGCACACAGTTGTTGCTCTATGCTGGACCTTCCTAACCTGAAGGAAATTTGGAAACTCCATTTTGCAGGTTTCTGTAGAATAAGTGGTTTTGTCATCAGCCTTCACGTAGCTGGCAGCCTGTCTGACATGCTGCTAAGGTTGGTATCAAGAGCTGAAAGTTACCTGCTCTACAAAAAGACCATGTTGTGTAGGAGTGTATGGACTGAGCTATCTGCCAAATTGTGTTTTCTTATCTCCTTCCTTCATCTTTTCTGCCAGTGTTCTTGAAACATTCACCATGGTGAAGTACAGTCTGATTCTTAGAATCTCCTTCAGACCGTTTTTGCATTTTCACAATCTGTACCTCTCCTCCCCTAGTTCCTGCTATAGCAGAAGCCCTTTGGCTTCACATCTATGAGAGGAATTTCAGGCAGTGCTTGTGCTTTCAAGACTGGTTGGAGAGAAAGCTCTTTGCTCCCAAAGAAAGAGAAAAAAAGCTCCCTGACACAGTTACCTGCCAGTGTTCTGCACAAACAACATAGGGATTTTATTCTGGCTTTAAAAAATTTATGTTGCTAGCAGTCAGTTTTCATTTCCATACCAGGCCAAGGCAGAGACAGAGAAGCATTTTCATGGATGGGGGGGGCTCAAGACAAGTAGTAGATTTGCATCCTGAGTATGAAAGTTCAGGCTGAAATTTTGCAGTATGTGTTTATCAGTCTTTAACTTGCACTGTTCTGTAACCTTGGTGGTGTTTTGCCAAGGCAGTAGTAATGCAAAGACTGATGTGATAATGGAAAGTGTACTGGACAAGTTCAAGGCAAATAGGTGAGACAAGGCATTCTCATTAGAGAGTACATTTGGAGTTTTCACTTGCAAATTCTGTGAGAATTTGATTGACCCCAATCACTCCCTCTCCTGGTGTGTTTAACCTCAGACATGAAGCTGTAATAAAACAGAAAATAAGGTCCTCTCATCAGCTATTCAAGTGCTGGGTAGGGCTTCCTGCAGCCCTTGGAGGTTTGATTCAAAGAAGGCTCTAGGGAGCATGGTGACCCAAGGCATGGCACATCTGAGGGTGTGCCACTTCTTTGAGGGCATGGCACATATGACGGCATGGCATGACTTTGAGGGTGTGGCATGGCGTCTTGCGCTGCAGTTCATGCAGGCAGGGTTGCAGTCATCCTCCTGCTAGTAGGCTTTTTGTGCTGGGAGTTGATTGGTTGGTTGGTTGGTTGCTTGGTTGGTTGGTTGGTTGGTTGATTTTGGGGTTTTTTCATCAATGGTCTCCACACAATCAAAAGCTATAGCTGGTAAAAGTACACCAATCCAAACAGAACCCCCCAAGAAGGACGTGTCTGTTCAGATCCCTTCCTGCAAGGAATGTTTGAGCTTGTCACTAGCACCAGGGGACATTGCAAAAGACTCCTGCCTGTGGTGTGATCAGGTGGCTGATCTTAAGGAGGAAGTAGAAAGACTGAGGAGCATTAGAGAAAGTGAAAGAGAAATAGACTGGTGGAGTTTCACCCTTCCATCCTTGAAAGAAGCCCACCAGGAGTTACAGGAGTCCCATGCTTCCCACCATCAGGCAGGAGGAAGACACCTGGTAGATGAAGGAAAATGGAAATGGGTCCCTTCTTGGGGAGGTTATGAAAATTCCTCCCAGCCCCCATCACCTACCTAGATGCCACTTCAGAATAGGTATGAGGCCCTGGATCCAGAGAGCCAGATGACACAGAAGAAAATAATCTGCATGGAGAGCCTCCCAATTATACCTCATCTGTCAGACAGATTACTACCTCTAGCATCAAAAACAAAAGAAGGGTAGTGGTAGTAGATGGCTTTCTTTCTGAGAGTAACACAGAGCCCCATATATTAACTGGACCCATTCCACAGGGAGGTCTGTGGCCTCCCTGAGGCTCAGGGACACGGTATTACTGAGAGACTCTGTAGGCTGATTCAGCCCTCTGATTACTATGCACTGCTAATACTCCAGGCTGGCAGTTACAAGACTGAAAAGCAGAATACCAGGGTAATTAAAAGGGACTCCAGGGCTCTGGGTTGGTTTGTTGATGGGAGAGGAGCACAGCTCGTGTTCTGCTCAGTGCCTTCAGTTGCAGGGACAAATGATGAAAGGAACAGGAAAACCCACATTATCAACAAATGGCTTAAGGTCGGGTGCCATCAGCAGACTTTTGGATTCTTTGATTATGGGGCAACTTTTATGGCACCTGGTCTGCTGGAGCCAGATGTGCTCCATCTCTGTTAATGGCACAAAGATTGTAGCCCACAAATTCGCACAATTCATTGAGGGCTTTAAACCAGGTTTGAAGTGGGAAGGGGATACAACCAGGCTCTTCAGAAACAAGCCGAAGGGTGGTAAGCCAGAGTCAGGGGTAAAAAATCAGCAGCCCAGCTGAAGTGCATTTACATTAATGCACTCAGTATGGGTAGCAAAGGCTTGAGTGCTGTGTCCAGTTCTGGGTCCTTCAGTTTAGGAAGGACGTTGAGATGCTTGAGCATGCCCAGAGGAGGGCAACAAGGCTGGTGAGGGACGTGGAATACAAGTCCTGTAAAGAATGACTGAGGGAGGTAGGGTTGTTTAGCCTGGAAAAAAAAGGAGGCTCAGGGGTGACCTTATCACTGTCTATATCTACCTGAAAGGAGGTTGTAGTCAGATGGGGGTTAGGCTTTTCTCCTAGGTAACCACTGACAGGACAGAGGACACAGTGTTGAGCTGCACCAAGGGAAGTTTAGGTTAGATGTTAGAAGAAAATTCTTCACTGAAAAAGTAATTGGGCAATGAAACCGTCTCCTCAGGGAGGCGGTGGAGTCACCATCCCTGGATGTGTTTGAAAAAAGACTGGATGTGGCACTCAGTGCCATAGTTTAGTTGATGAGGAGATATTAGGTCATAGGTTGGGCTTGATGATCTCAAAACTCTTTTCCAGCCTAGTTCATCTTGTGATTCTGTTCTGATGTGAGCAGTGTCAAAGTTGGAGGAGATGTTGACACTGCATTTCTTTAAAAAACCTTTTAGTAAACATATAGATAAATGGACATAACAGACTGTGGAAACCCTTGCATACTGTAAACAGAAAGCAAAGAGGGTCAGTTGGATCCAAAACAAGCTATTACCTCACTATCTGCTAAAATCAGCAAGTAAAATCTCACTATCTGCTAAAATCAGTAACTAAAATCAGTCTGGGTCATAAGGCCATCTCGTGGGGTCTCACCAACTCCCCAGTTTGGGAGGCTGGTGGGTACAGGGGGCACTGCTGGCAATAGGGCCCAGTGAGACTGCCTGAATGCAAGGCTCAAATAATACAAACCCATGTAACTGCTCTCTGTAAGCAAAAAGTTTAACTCCAGAGCTGTCTGAGAAAGGGCACAGCATTGACAGACAGTTGTCTCAGAAACCCTATTGTTAACCTCTATTGTTAAACTGGCCATTTCCAAATTATGGGATTTTATTATTTATGGTTATGATTATTTTATGATTTGATTATGATTGGAATTATGAACTCAAGCAAGTTCCTTGTTTCCTTGACATGATCTTCCTTCAAGCCTTTTAGTCTTTCAAAACAACATTTCTAAGTAACTGTGAAATTTTGGAAATTGCCCAGTATCTTTGCTTATATCACATCTGAATGTGGATATGTGCATCCTGAGGTGCAGTGCATAATGGTAGATATTTTCCTGCTGTGTTCTCATTTTGGTTTTGCCTCGTTTTCATTACATCTGCAAGTTTCAAGGTAAGAACTGCTTTTAAAAA